TGCGCGGGAGAAAGAGAGAGAGCAGACACAGCTCATCTTAGTGTTATATTGTCATGTTGAAGTGTAACGTTGGCGGCGCCGGGGACCGTACTGCCCCGTATGGCCTGTTAAAGCATAATTTTGTCATATTTTCGTCATTTATGATATGACAAACCAATCACCATTAAAACTCAAAATAACGACGAAATAAATGACGAAATAAATTCGTGTGAGTCGATTCGGCTTTGTCATTATGACGTGTTTGTTTCGTCATTTATTTGTGCTGAAATCGGTCAATTTCACGACAAATTAATGACGAATTAATCTCGAAACAAGGACAAGACTTCAAGCGGCACGAAAAAACGATTCCCGCTTCTCGCCTGGAGGTGGAATCGAACCACGAACTTCACCCACCGCAGGCCGGCACTGTACCCACCAGGCCACGGAGGAGACGTGAGAGACGAGGTCGCTCCGAGCAGAGAGGTGCAGCTCGTCGCACCCGTGCTGCTGCCGCCACTCGCCGCTCTAGAACAACGGCTGGTCTGGCGACCTCGCCTCCCGCACGTCTCCTCCGTGGCCTGGTGGATACAGTGCCGGCCTGCGGTGGGTGAAGCTCGTGGTTCGATTCCACCTCCAGGCGAGAAGCGGGAATCGTTTTTTCGTGCCGCTTGAAGTCTCATCATTGTTTCGAGATTAATTCGTCATTAATTTGTCGTGAAATTGACCGATTTCAGCACAAATAAATGACGAAACAAACACGTCATAATGGCAAAGCCGAATCGACTCACACGAATTTATTTCGTCATTTCTTTCGTCGTTATTTTGAGTTTTAATGGTGGTTGGTTTGTGATTGGTTTGTCATATCATAAATGACGAAAATATGACAAAATTATGCTTGAACAGGCCATACGGGGCCTAGGCGAGGCGGTGGGTGAATAACCCTAGTCGGCTACAGCCGGGGTCCTGGGCGCGGAGGCTGCAGATAACGCGGCTCATATATTGGGGCGGCAGCCGGCAGCGGCCGATAACGGCTGATGGACAAACCGATCGGGGCGAACGGCTACACTTCTACGGGGACCGACCTCGGTCGGGCAGGGCGGGGCGGGTGGCGGGGCGACAGAGGAGGAAGATCACCGACTTGTTTCAAAATAGCAATAAGATAGAAGTGCGGGATATGATGGGGACGGGTGACCGGCCGGCGGCAGCGGTGTATGTGCAAAGGCGACCGGGACAAAAGTAGCTTCACTGGCAGCAGCGGGCAGCAGCGTCGTGCGCCCCACCACTCCTGGACACCGCAATGCTCACCATGTGCACGTAGGGGACGAAGTAGCCGAACAGGGCCGTGGGGATGGCCAGGGCCCAGATGACGTACTTCCTCCGCCGCCAGATGTCCACGTTGAAGAGCTCGGCGCGCGCCGATCGTGCGGGCGCCGCGGCCGGCGCGGCCAGTGGCTTGAACAGGAAGGAGCAGCCGATGATGAGGGACAGCATGGCGGACAGGAGCCTAGAGGCAGCAGGGAGCACATGTTGTTAGCAACTGTCCCGGACCAGTAGAAGGAGACTCTGTAGCCCGAACCAACGGAAACTCACAACAGGCTGCCGGAGAAGCCGAAACGCTTGAGCAGCCACTCGAGCGGGTAGGGGAGCAGCACGGAGAACACCGACGAGCCGGCGGCCACCAGCCCGTTGGCCACCCCGAGGTAGCGCTTGAAGTAGTGGCCCAGGACCACCAGAGACGGCGTGTAGGTGAGCGAGGCGCCCACTCCGAAGAGGACGCCGTAGGTCGCGTAGAGAGCGTATACCTGCCGCACATGAGTTTATTTTCAGGCGGGTTGCGTTACCGTCCCAATCGCGCGCCTTGCGTGCTGCGCGAGTAGGCAACCTGCTCGCTCGCTGGGCCATGCGGTACAGTCTACTCCCGCAAGTGGACAGGACGAACAAGCCCTAAAAGAATGCTGCTTACGTTCTGCGTGACGAAGGAGGAGAGGAGCATGCCGCTGGCGGCCAGGGCCCCGCCAATCGCCGTGGTGAGGCGGATGCCCCAGCGGTCCGTGAGCACGCCCGCCACGGGGGAGATCAGAAACGTGGTGCCGATGCACAGCGATCCCACCAGAGCTGCAACAGAGCGGAGAGAGCTTTTTGATTAGCGTGTGTTTGGCGGCTAAACCGGCACAGGATAGCTGAAAAAGAGCAAGGAGAAAAGGGGGCCGTTCTGTATACCTAAATAACCACAAAAACGAAGAAGCTTCTCAGCCTGATGACAGGTTTTAGTTTAGACATCCGGGTAGAATCCCGTTGCCTTCCCCTCCCCTTCCTCTGGATTGAGCTGAGACAAGCGGGCCTGGCACGGCTTGCCGGAGTGGTCGGCAGAAACCGAATACCCGGCGAGAAGAAGCCCTGCAGCAGAGCAGAGAGCCCCAAGCGCCCCACGGAACGCACGCCCCCCTCCCCCCTCCTCCGCTTCCCCGGTGTCCCCGGGCCGCGGGGGCTCTCACGCAACCGCCGAACACCGGCCGAACCCACGGGACCATGCGGTGGGAGCCTTGCGACAGGGCGGGGGCTGCCGGGCGTGGACGAGGGCGACGACCCGACGGACGGGTGTTATAGACCTAGGCTAGGCTCACTCTGGCCCTGACCCTGACCCTGCCCCCCCCCCCTCCCTGGAACTTGAGGGCTGCTGGAGGCTTGCTGGAGTTGACACACCACCTGCTGCTGGGCGGTTCCGCGATCGGTGAATGGAGTGACCCTGCAGGTGAGTCGACGACGCACCTCCATAGGCGGGAGGTGGACCCGACGCGCTGCCTGTCGCGGACCCACTATAGGCAGGCAGGAAAGGGGAGCACACTCAAAAACGACAACTCAGATAATCAACAAAAGGCACAATTATGTAACTCTGCAGTTCGTCCTTCTCGCCCAATTTTCGTCCGCCCGAACAATAATAGTGTTCAATACGCCACGTGTTGTGAGCCGGGTCCGGCATGCTAGAAGTGTTAACGACCCCGCCCCACCTCACCCCGCCCCGCGCGGCAAGCTGCGTGGCGCGGGGCTTCGCACCGCGGACACGCCGCTCACGAGGATCGAGGCGTCGTGGCGTCGTCGCCAAAAGAGCACGCGGCGTGACACAGCGGTTTGGCGCCTCGCCTAACTCCCGCCTCGCCGGCCCGCCAGCATCTTCCCGAGCGAGGGAGCCGGACCCCATCAATATAGCCAATAGCTGGACTTCACTGTTGGGGCGTTGGGGCTGGGGCTCTGCTTAGGCGGAAAAGCTCTCCGAGCAGTGCGTTTTCGCATTGCAAACAAACTGACTTCCCAAACTACTTTTCCGTTAGAAATCAGAGCAGTTTGAAAGGGTAGTTATGCTGGCCGAATATCTAAAAAATGAGGAACTGATCCGAGCTGTTCGGGTTTGGATGAAAGCGAGTCAAAGCAATACCGTCTAATATTGCAGATGTCACTCTGACACTTTTGTGCATGACAAAGTATCCGACCTCACGACGAGTTTAGTCTAAAATCAACCGATTTTTTTCGGAGATGTAACCCC